TGTGAGTGTGTGTGTGTGTGTGTGTGTGTGTGTGTGTGTGTGTGTGTGTGTGTGTGTGTGTGTGTGTGTGTGTGTGTGTGTGTGTGTGTGTGTGTGTGTGTGTGTGTGTCGGTGAAATTTTGACATCTATCCAGCCTTTATGAAGATAAAATAATAGTATTTGCTCCACGTTGCCAACCCTCAAATTTTCCCGTACGACCATAGATTATGAGAACAATTATGAATATGATAGTTGCCAATGACAGTTGACAATCCGATAGTCGGGTAGGACACCATCTTTCCCAGAAAAAAATGACCCACGAATCTGTTTAACCATGCGGTTTGCGTGCGCGGGGCTTCCTTCGCTCTCTTGGGGATTGAAAATCTCCAGCACAAACGTTTTGATAATATGGTCGTGTCTAACTCCTACGCTGTCTTCTCTTTATCTTTATCACGTCTTGGCTATCATTTTCACTCTCTTATCCACTCATTTACTCATTTATTCACTTACCCATTCACTCGCTTGCTCGCTCATTCGCTCTCTCTCACTCACTCACTCACTCACTCTCACTCCCTCACTCATTACTTACTCACTTACTCAATTACACAATTACTTACTCAATTACTCACACAATTACATACTCACTCGATTACTCACACAATTACTTACTCATTTAAATTACTCACTTTTTCACTCACCGTCTTATTTTTATCAATATCTATTTCTTTCTTTCGTTATATGTTTATTCTCTCCGCTATCTTCATCTACACACCTTCATCTCGTTTGTTTTTCTCATACCACTTTCTTCACCTCACAATTTTTCTTACTTTTCTTTTTATCTCCATTTTCTTACCCCTTCGATATTCACTTCCGCGTATCTTGAGGGAATATAAGTTCTAACATCGGTCTTAGTTAAAGGTCATTCGTACTAAAAATCTATTGCAAAAAAGGCAGTTCCCTGAACTATTACCGGAAAATACTGGTGTGTGTGTGTGTGTGTGTGTGTGTGTGTGTGTGTGTGTGTGTGTGTGTGTGTGTGTGTGTGTGTGTGTGTGTGTGTGTGTGTGTGTGTGTGTGTGTGTGTGCGTGTGCGTGTGCGTGTGCGTGTGCGTGCGTCCGTGCATGCGTGCGTGCGTGCGTGTGTGTGTGTTTGTGTGTATATATGTTTGTGCATGCGTGTGCGCGTGCGTTCATGCGTGTATGCGCGCTCGCCCACTCGTCCATCCATGCATTTAAGGAAATAAATTAATTAATCTGCGCATATACCCACCAATGTCAACAAAGATAAACATCAGTAAATAAATGTTAATCCCCAAAACTTGAGATAAATATATGAATGATAATTAGCATACGACAGTGTCAACTGCCCGTTCCGCGTTTGACAAGTCTCAGTGTTTCCTTGTAAGTAAAGTATAAACACTGGATAATACGTCCGATTCATTCGCTTTAAACAGAATCGTGTAAATATCAAACAAAAAAACACACGCACATACGTACATACACATACATACCTACATACATATACACGCAAAAAAGAGGAAAAAATCACAAACACAAGAAAAAAAAAAATACTGATCCCACACGAAAACGAAGAGAGGGGGGGGGAGGGGGGGGGGAGAAGAGGGGTAAGAGAGGAGGGAGGAGGGTGGAGTAAGTCCCCCCCTTTCCTAAGTACCAACTCGAACACGAACTCATTTCCCCCCCCCCTTTCCATCTCCCCTCTCCCCCCTCCAACCCCCAACACCTCCCCTCTCCCCCCCTCAGAAAGATCACAGGTGACTCTCCCGGGCGATTTCTTTAGCCGCCGCGCCCGGTAGGATGCCCCCACGACGGCCGGAGACAGAAAAGGTGAAGGCGATTCGGAGCGAGCGAGCTTGCGCTGGACTCAATCGCCGGGGACGTCTCTGGCACAAGGACGGAAAAAGGAGGAGGAGGAATGGGAGGAAAGAGGAGAAAGGGGGAAGAGGAGGAGGAGGAGGAATGGAAGGAGGAGGAGGAGGAATGGAAAGAGGAGGAGGAGGAATGGAAAGAGGAGGAATAGAAGGAGGAGGAGGAGGAAGAGGAAGGGGGACTTCGTTTGCACTAGGACGTAAAAAGGGAGGAGGAATGGGACGAGGAGGAGGAATAGAAGGAGGAGGAGGAATGGAAGGAGGAGGAGGAGGAGGAGGAGGAGGAGGAGGAGGAGGAAGAATAAGAAGAGGAGGGGGAGGAGGAGGAGGAGGAATGGAAGGAGGAGGAGGAAGAGGAAGGGGGACTTCTTTGCCCAAGGTAGTAAAAAGGAGGAGGAATGGAAGGAGGAAGAATGGAAGGGGGAGGAGGAGGAGGAGGAGGAGGAATGGAAGGAGGAGGAGGAAGGGGGATGAGGAGGAGGAGGAACAGGAAGAGGAGGAGGAGGAGGAGGAGGAAGAGGAGGAGGACTGGAAGGAGATGGAGAAGGAAGGGGGAAGAGGAGGAGGAGGAATGGGATGATAATGATAATGATGATGATGATGAAGATGATGATGATGATGATAATGATGATGATGATAATGATGATGATGATAATGATAATGATAATGATGATAATGATGATGATAATGATGATGATAATGATGATGATAATGATAATGATGATGATGATGATGATAATGATGATGATAATGATAATGATGATAATGATGATGATAATGATAATAATGATAATGATGATGATAATGATGATGATAGTGATAATGATGATAATGATAATGATGATGATGATAATGATGATGATAATGAAGATGATGATAATGATAATGATGATAATGATAATGATGATAATGATAATGATAATGATAATGATGATGATAATGATGATAATGATGACAATGATAATGATGATGATGAAGATAAAGATGAAGAAGATGAAGAAGAACAAGAACAAGAACAAGAACAAGCAGAAGAACAAGAACAAGCAGTAGCAGAAGCATCGGCCTCAGCAGAAGGATCAGAAGAAAAAGCAAGGAAGATAGACCAGGATCAGAATCAGTAACAGTAAGTATAAGTAAGAGACGCAGACTCACTCACACCTCGGCGCGCTCGTAGGAAATCAGACCTCGCGGCCATTTGCAATTACATTATAGATCAAGAATAGAGAGAGAGAGAGAGAGAGAGAGAGAGAGAGAGAGAGAGAGAGAGAGAGAGAGAGAGAGAGAGAGAGAGAGAGAGAGGGGGGGGGGGGAAGAAAAAAAAGAAAGGGGGTAAAAGAGAAACAAAATGAAGACGAAAAAAAAAATGAGGGAAAAAGTTGAAGACATTTGGGTCATTTAGTCTGGTCAATATTTCTGTTTTTCTGTTTGATTGTTTTTTTGTTTTTGCGGGGGGAGGGGGGGAGGGAGGAGGGAGGATGGGGCAGAGGCAGGGGATAGGGGAAAGAACAAGGGCAGATGTAGGGGCAGAGGCAGAGGGGCAGGAGCAAGAGTAGGTGCAAGGCCAGAGGCAGGAGCAATTGCAGAGGCAGAGGGGCAGAGGGCAGAGGCAGAGGGCAGAGGCAGGGGGCAGAGGCAGAGGGGCAGAGGCAGAGGGCAGAGGCAGAGGGCAGAGGCAGAGGGGCAGAGGCAGAGGGCAGAGGCAGAGGGGCAGAGGCAGAGGGCAGAGGCAGAGGGCAGAGGCAGAGGGGCAGAGGCAGAGGGCAGAGGCAGGGGGCAGAGGCAGGGGGCAGAAGTAAGGCCTTAGACAGAGGGGCAGCAAAGGCAGAGGAAGGAGCAAGGGCAGAGGCAGAGGGCAGAGGCAGAGGGGCAGGGGCAAGAGCAGAAACAAGGGCAGAGGCATGGGGGCAGGGGGCAGATGCAGGAACAAGGGCAGAGACAGGGGGCAGAGGTAAAGCCAGAGGCAGAGGGGCAGATGCAGGAGCAAGGGAAGGAGGGCAGGGGGCAGAGACAGGGTCAGAGACACGAGACAAGAGACAAGAGGCAAGGGTCAGAGGCGAGATCAGGAGGAGAGAAGCAGAGGAAGGAAAGGAGACAAAAAGAGACACCCCAAAAAAAAGGTTAGTTCGGGGGGAGGGGGGGGGGGGGGGGAGGTAACATGATGTCGACATTGACCGCCTGATGATTGAAGCTTATTCATGGTGACCCGGCGAGGAGGTGGGCATAGCGAGGGCACGACGACCAGCTGGCACTTGGCAGGTGGTGACGAAGGGGGTAACGAGGGGGGGGGGGGGGGCGATGGTGAGTGATGGTGACGAAGGCGAATAAGTACGATAGTGAGGGGGGGTCACTAGCGAAGGAAATGATAATGAAGGAAAATAAGAAGGAAAATTTACGATAATAATGATGATGATGGTTAATATAATTATTACGATAATGACGATGAAGGGCATACTGATAACTATGAGGCCGATTCCGATGATAATAACGAGGCAAATGACCCTCATAAAGATGAAGATCAAAACGAAAATGAAGATGCTGTTAACCGTAGTTTTTTTCTATATAAAAAATCACACCAAAAAACGCAAACTTTCAGCAAACATAAAAAAAAGGAAATCAAACAACCAAAAAACTCGCCCAAATCAATTAAACAAACAAACCCCATAAAAACAACTCCCCCCCCCCCCCACCCACCCGCATGCGCGCCCCAGCCTCCACGCGCGATGCCGAGGCGACGACGAGCAAGCGGGCCAGGATACACGGGCAGCTTGGTCTCTCTCCTTCCCTCCCTCCCTTCCTCCTCTCTCCTTGCTTCTCTCCCTCCTCTCTCCTACCCTCCCTCCGTCCTCCCAGCGTCCTTGCCTACCCATCCTCCCTTGCCCTCCCATCCTCCTTCCCTCCCTTGCCCTCCCTAACACCCTCTAACCTCCCTTACCCTCCCTCCCTCCCATCCTCCCTTACCCTCCCTCCCTCCCTTACCCTCCCTAACACCCTCCCATCCTCCCTTCCTTACCCTCCCTCCCTCCCTCACCCTCCCTCCCTCCCATCCTCCCAAACACCCTCCCATCCTCCCTCCCTCCCCGCCCGCCGTCCCTCCTCGCCTCCCTCGCCGGCCAGCCAGTGACGGGCGCCATCCAGTTTGCCATAGGACGCCCAGGTGAACGCACATAAAACCCCGAGCCTCCGCCGTGCAAGAAGCCACTGCCGGACGACGACACGCGCGCGACTCCGGAAGGGAAAAGGTAGGGAAGGGAAAGAGTGTTTTGGGGTGTTTGTGTGTGTGTATTTTTGTGTGTTTTATGTTTTTTGTGTCTGCGTATTTTTGTGTTTTATGTTTCTTGTGTTTGTGTTAGTGTGTTTTTGTGTTTTGTGTGTGCGTATTTTTGTGTTTTATGTTTCTTGTGTTTGTGTTAGTGTGTTTTTGTGTTTTGTGTGTGTGTTTTTCTGTGTGTTCGTGTTTCAGTTAATTTGTGTGTGTTTGTGCTTGTGTGTGTTTCTATTTGTGTTTATTTGTTTGTGTTTGTTTTTGTGTGTGTTTGTGTATGTTTTTGTTGTTGTTGTTTTGTCTTTATCATATTGTTATTATTGTGATAACTATCATTACCACTGCCATTACTGTTATCAGCACTATCAATACCATTAACATTATACTTATTACCATTATGATGATCATTATCATTATGACCTATTATTATCATAATCATTGTTATTATTATAACTGTTGCTACTATTAACATTATTATTAGCATTATCATCACAATTACTGTTTAAAATCATAGTGTATGTGTGTGTGTGTGTGTGTGTGTGAATGTAAATACGATTTTGACAGTGTTTCTGTTATTGTTGTGTCCTAAGATAGTGAGTTACTGTGAGTGTTTATGTGGTGTGGTATGGTGTGTATATGTGTATATGTGTGTGTGTGTGTGTGTGTGTGTGTGTGTGTGTGTGTGTGTGTGTGTTGTGTGTGTGTGTGTGTGTGTGTGTGTGGTGTGTGCACGTGCGTGTATGCGTGCGTGTGATGAGCATATAAGAGAAGAGAGAGAGAGAGAGAGAGAGAGAGAGAGAGAGAGAGAGAGAGAGAGAGAGAGAGAGAGAGAGAGAGAGAGAGAGAAATGGAGAAAGGGAAAGGGAGAGAGAGAGATGAGAGAGAAGAAAGAGAAGAAAGAGGAGAGAGAGAGAGAGAGAGAGAGAGAGAGAGAGAGAGAGAGAGAGAGAGAGAGAGAGAGAGAGAGAGAGAGAGAGAGAGAGAGAGAGAGGAAAAGAGAGAGAGGAAAAGAGAGAGGGAAAGAGAGAGGGAAAGAGAGAAAGAGAGAGAAAGAGAGAGAAAGAGAGAGAAAAAAAGAGAAAAAGAGGGAGAAGAGCAGAAAGAGAAAGAGAAGAGAGAGAGAAGAGAGAGAGAAAGAGAATGAGAGAAAGAGAGAAAGAGAAAAGAAAAAAAAGAAAAAGGAAAGAAAAAAACAGAAAAGAAACAAACAGAGAATCAAAGAAATCGTTTACGTAATCGCAAGCGACTGCAATCAATCCCTCATAACCGTCTCGCTTCAGTAATTACGACAAACCCGCGTAAAAGCCTCGTCTTTAGTATGTCAACTTCACTGCCAACCTTTCTCCCTCCTCCCCCCCCCACCCAACCACCCCGCCCCCCCTTCAACTACAACTTTAATTTCAAAGACAATTTAGGCTTGAGTGTCAGGCCAGCAGAGTCAGAGGTCACACGCGCGCGACAGGACCAGAAAGAGCAGAAAATAAGAGGAAATATCTGGGAAAAAAAACTACAGCTTGAATAATTACTTCTTCACAATAAAAAAAAAAGAAATAGAAATTTATAATTCAGTCTCTTAAATACAGGTTAACCACAAGAATACGAAGACTATATACACGTTATCATACGTATAGAAGCACGTGCACGCACATATATACACACATACATACATAAGACACATACACACATAGATACACATACACACACATACACACACACACAACAACAACAACAACAACAACAACAACAACAACAACAACAACAACAACAACAACAACAACAACAACAACAACAACAACAACGTGGCAAACGAAGCATTCCTGAATATTTAAGTCCCGGAGCCTAATTTTTTTTAAGGCTCCCGTTTTCTGTTGACACTTAGCAACGATTAACAGTTACTATTATAATCATCTATTGCATCCGGTGTTCTATTATCCCCCCCCCCCCCCATTTATGTAATTACTTCCTATTGTGTCTTGGACTAATGAAAAAAATAAAACAAACACAAAAATAAAACACTTTGTATGGGAGTATAAAACAAGAATAAGTATTTGTCTAAATGTCAGTTGTGGCGTAACTTTTTTTTGTTTTTTTTGTTTGTTTTTTTTACTCGTTTCAAGTACGGTTCCCGGTTATAACTACACATTCTTAAGGCCAGTTTAATTCCAGTTGTTGAGTTTAAATTCTAAAAAAAAAATGCAAATAAAAGAGAATCGCGCAACATGGACAATTAAATCAATCAGCTGTTTAATTCCCCTTTGCAAAATTACTCATTCGCAATCACACTTTTTTTTTCTTTGCAATTTCCTAAGCGCCTCGAAAAACACCTGTTTTAACCCTACCTGTCGTCTTCCTCCTTTCTTTTTCTTGGCCTTTTCTATCTCCTCATTTACTCTCTCTCTTTCCATACTCTTTTTTCCATCACTCTCCTCTCCTCTCCTCTCCTCTCTCTCTCTCTCTCTCTCTCTCTCTCTCTCTCT